GATGTCTGGCATGTCCTCGTATGACTAGGGGAATACCTTAGTGTTTTCTTGCAAAAAAGAGATCAATGCCAACTGAATAGGTGGTGACAAGGTGGTGCCAATCTTCACCATGCGATATAGAAACCTTCTCTAGCTCTTCAGCGGGTTGTGCTTGCTGGGTGAAAGAGTCATCTCGAGGATCGTTGGGTTGACTGTTGCCACCGTGAAGATCCAAGTTGGCTTCATCCGGGCTGGTCTTTATGACTTGGTCATGTATAGAAAAGGTTTCCTTGGGCACATGCAGGTGTTGTTGCTTGACCGAAATATTGTAACAAGACCGTGCACTAAGTTGATCTCCTCTTATGTAACCATTGCCATAGGGGGTTGGAAATGTCATCAACAACATATGTGTGGATACCATGGCTTTAAGATCATTGATGCTTGTGCGTCTAAAGATGACATTGTATGCCGTTGAGCAATCAACTACCAGGAAGTTAGTGGTAATGGTAGCTGTGTAAGGGCCTGTACCAATGGTGAAAGGTAAGTGTATGCTCTTTATAGGTTGCACGATATCACCGGAGAAGCTTATTAGAGGAGAAATCGAGCGATCGAGCAAGTGTTCAGCTATATTAAGTGCCCTGAAAGCTTCAACAAACATGATATTGACCGAAGCCCCCGTGTCTACCAGTATTTGTCGTACTTCAAAGTTGGTTATGTGAGCCTTCACGATCAGTGGGTCGTTGTGAGGGTAGATGATACCTCTTTCTTCCTTAGGGTAGAAACATATTGGATCCCAGTTAGACTTTTGATACTTGTCTCCCCTGATGTCTTCCACGTGAAACACTTGGTGGCCAGGCCTTAAAGCTCGTTCGCTGTTCTTCATGGCCCTATTGGAAGATTCAGATATAGGTGTGCCGCCGTTTATGGAATATATCACTTTCACTTGGCGTTGGTTACGGTTATCCCTTGAAGAGTGAAGAAGGAATTGATCAATTTTTCCTTCACACGCCAAAACTTTAATATGATCATGAAGGGTGCTACACTTCTTGCCGTCATGGTTGTTATGCTCGTGGTAGTAGCAAAACATGCCCGTGTTCTTCGTGGGCTTGTAACCCGACTACCTCGGCATTGGCTTCGGTATTAGGTGTGGTATGCTAGGGTAAATGGCCACGCATGTGACATTCAAAGGTGTGTATGTCTCATACCTCGGGGCAGGGCCTGTCCTGACACGTGTTTGGCCTACTGTGTTGACTGCCTGGAGATGGGCATTATCATGGCGATACCCTTGGTTATCGCGATAGTGTCCCTTACTTTTTTTTTCTAAAATAAGACTGGTGAGGATGGAAATTTTTCCTTTTGCCCTGAGGTTGATATGTCTGTTGACTTGGCGAAGTATTAAGTAAGGCAGAAGGAGGCACTGCTGCTGTTTGGAAAGTCGAGGTCTTCTCATTTGGTTGGATCTGGCTTCCACCCCCTACTTGCTGATAAGGGGTGGCTGTGGGGGGTTTCCCTTGATATGTCCTTGCCTCGGCAGAGGCATGGTTGTAAGCCTATGCCATCACTTCAGAGTAAGTCTTCCAAGTGTTGGCATTGTTCATGTACTTGAATAAACAATCACGTAGGCCTGCCGTGAAGGCTTTGATGGCAGTCTTGTCGTCTGCCTCGGCATAACAGGAATACTCATGGCTGAAGCGGCCATCATACATACGTAATGACTCATCTGGCTTTTGGTGAATAGTGTACAAGTCATCCGCAGAGTGCAAGTGATCGATATGGAAAATATGTTGAGAAACAAACAGTTTCCTCAATTTCTCAAATGAGTCTATCGTCTCAGGTGGAAGACGGCAATACCAGTTTAGAGTTCCGCCAGAGAGGGTGGAGGGGAAGAGAAGACATCGCTCTTCGTCGGTATGCATCCGGTATGTCATGGTGGACTCAAAGAGGTTAAGGTGTTCAATCGGGTCCTCTTTTCCAGTATAGAGTTGCAAGCCAAGCTTCTGCTTTGTCTTTGCTTAGAGGGGGGTGTCAAAGATCCTCCTTGTAAGAGGGCCAGGCCTAGGTTGGTTCCAATCAGGTATCTCAGCTTGTTGTTCGACCTTCAACTTGTTTACTTCCTTAAGGAGTTGTAAGACAAGAGGGTCCCTGAGTGGAGTCACGTACCACTGGAGTTTTCTTTCGTAAATCTCCATCTCATCTTGGAAGTAGGAAGGTTTGATCAAGAGCATGTGATTTTTCCCTGGATTCGCCGTACTGATTTCCAAGGTATGTCTGTCAAAACATCTCTGAGTCCCCTATACCTTCGTGTTCCTCAATGACTTGTTTCCCTTTCCCCAAATTGGTAGCTAACCTGGGACATGGGAGGGGACCGAGTCTTTCAGAGACCCTTGGGTCATTGATCTTCGAGCTTACATGGATTGGATTGTCTCGACGTTGCTCTAAAAAGTCTCGACAGTCGTGAAAGACGGCTTTCGATCCTTCCACTCCTTCTGTAAGGAGGTGCCTTCTTCCACTCCTCATGTTTCGGGTCGAAGTAGCTAGGTTGAGAGAAGTCTCATGTTGGTCGCCATTTCAATGAGTAGCTTGTTCCTCAACAGGAATACCCATGTCAAGGGCAAATGACCCTCCGTGTTGGGGGCACCCAGTTGATGGTTGACTTCCACAAGGGTGATGAGCTCGTGTGTTTTAGTATATCTAGCCTCGTGGAGCATCTCGAATACCTTCTCATACTGCTCTTGGATGATCTCATTCTTCATCGTTATCTTGTTGTTCGGAGCTTCTAGCTCATCGACTTTAGCCTAAAGAGCAAACTTCTTTTGTTCCTTCCTTCGTTGTTTCGCACCAGGTGCAAGAGGGGTGTTATTTTGTGTGTTGTGGCTTCCTGCGCTCCTCATGTTGGAAAAGGATGCCTGGTCAAAAGAGAGTGTACGAATGGTGGAAACCAGCTTAACAAAGCTGAAGAGAGTGGGAATAAGTGTCGTTCCCATAGACAGCGCCAAATGTTGATGCACAAAATCAATGAGGACTTTGGTACAACAGAAAGTTTTAAGTTTGTGACCTTCGCTAGATTGCTCCGGTCACTAATGTGGATAAGTATGTAAATGGATAGAGACAGGGAAACAAACACAAGATGTACGTGGTTCACCCAGATTGGCTACGTCCACGGAGTAGAGGAGTTCTTATTAATTGTGAAGGGTTTACACAAGTACATAGGTTCAAGCTTTCTTTTTGTGAGTACTAGTGAATGATTTAGTACAAATAACATTAGGAAATATTGTGGGAGAATGATCTCCTTTTATAGAAGAGAGTTTCTAGCTTTGTTCTGATTGTGACACGTGCCGTGTTATGATTGGCTTTCGATGTCACGCTATGATTGGCTTCTGATGTCGACACGTGTCGCGTTGTGATTGGCCACCTGGTTGGAGGGAAACTCTTCTGGGTCTTTGACGGTATAACGTTGACTGGTGCTCGGTAGTTTCGGGATTGGTCAAGTATGGTACAAACATATTAAAATTTTGCTTTTATTATCACTTTAAAATCTCAGTGTGCATTCCTTATAGGTGTAATTTATTTCCTTTCTAAATATAAAAATTTTGGAGTACAAAATAATATGTTTGAAGTGTCAATAATGCTATATATTCAAGTGAAACTTTAAAGTTAAAAGTTTTTGAAACTTTTTTTCTTGTTTGGTTGTTTAAAATTGAACTGCTTTTAATTATTTAGTGAAAGTTATGTTTGTAACTCTTTTTATTTATTATTTAATTACATTTGCAAACTTACAATGATGAGTGAGTTTTAAAGTTTGTTTTGATTTAAGTGATTACTTTCTAGCACCAATCATTGTCCTATCTTTTTTTTTTCGGAAACTATCATAAGAAGGGGCATTTTTTTAAATTTTGCACAGAGCCCCAAAATCTTAAAGACGGCCACCCGCTGGTCTGCTTTTTTGAAAAAAATAAAAATAAAAATTCTCGTGTACTAAATCACCAAACCTAAGATGACGATCTATATATGGTTAATCCCATACAGAAAAAGTAAATCATCTCCAACCCTAGCTCCCTACTGAAGGAAACATTTTACCAAAGATTATATCCAGTTGTGTGATCAACCGTCCAACCTAGCTGCTAGCGATGCTAATTATATAGAATACAGTCAGTTACTATTCCATGTCGAAAATCATGTCCAATCTATCTAGTTAGCTACTGAAGGGGACATTGAATTCTAATTAATGACGATTAACAACAACGATGTTTCGACCAAAAAACAACAACAATATTAATTATAGTGTTGCGTGATTAGTTAATCCTCACAATTTGGGTGATCTGCTGGGTCCAATCCTGTCTTAATCATAAATCTTTCTTTCATTTCTGATAACTAATTACCATTTGCACGCGCGACAAAAGAAAAACAAGCTGAGAAGAAGTAGGTCATCCCCAGCTGGCTTGGCCACCAGATCTTCTCTAGCACAAGAGGGCGCAAATGAAATGATGGCCAACGGATCAGCCACAGAATTTCCGCGACAAATATAGAGCCACGCAGGTGAGAATTAATTAAGAATATATCCATGTAATTGCTGCATGCAGCCCCACATTGCAGGCATATACCGAATTATTTATGTGATATATGCAACTGATTTTGAAGTGGTTCAAGCTCTAGCACTAGGAATTAATCTTAAAATCATGGTAAGGCAAGTTTAATTTCCAGTTAAATATAGAGAAAATAAAATAAAAAATTTTGGCCACGCATGTTTTCTGATCGGAATGTATAGGTTAGATCCACTTTATATATATACACTTGTATAAGTAGGATTTTATCTTCTTTGTTTGGAAATGTGGCTTGTAATTCCGTTAGTAAATAATGTTAGTAACAGAATTGTATGTGAAATTTATCGGTGAAGTAATCAAATGTTAGAATGAAAAAATGATATATATATATCTATATATTGAATAACTGGGTAGTCAAATTAACATAATGCAACAATAAGCGATAGCAGATATAACCATATATACATATACAGGAATTTTCTAAAGAATATCTTGCTCAGCCAAAAACTCCTCCATTGGAGGCATCTCTCTGAACAATCTTTCGAACTCTTTGAACGAGATATTTCTCATCAAAACTGAAGAATTACTCCGAGACATAGTACTAGCAATAGAAGTATTTGATGATTCCAGAACATTGTTACCCGTCCTCCCAATATTGGCTCCCTCTTTCAAAGAGTACTGCGGGCTCTTTGTAATCGGCTCCTGCACTTCGTATGCCACCCTTGAATCCTTCCCAGTTAGCCTTTGTACGACATCTTTGAAGCTCATGGCATCCGTCTCCACGTACTTGGTGTTGATGATCACAACCTTCACACACTGATTCCTACCAACACTCGACATCGAAAATTTCTCCGTAGGCTGGTTTTGAGAAGGGATAATTAATATGGTAAATGGGTTTTGTAAACTGGGTTTTTTGTTTTGCAGTTTGAGTTATTAGGTTTGGGGTTTTATAGTGGAAGGTGGATGCGGAAAGACATGGTGCTGCATGGAAGACTTGTACGGCAAGGTGGAGGAGAAGTTGACAGTTAAAGTTGACCGTTGTATATTTGTGTGTGTATGTTGAGAAGCAGTCTAGAAAGACCAGATTGGGTCAAAGCACGCAATTGAGAATTCAGAAATTAAGTTTTGCATGTCCTTATCAGTCCATGCATGTGACACGAAGGTGAGAACTAAATGCTATCCATTGGTTGGGCCATGCACGTGGAACACTCTGGTTGCATTTCACTTTTACCTTAATTACCTAAAGCCAACAATATAACTGCATCTAAATCACTAGTTCAAATCACAAATCAAACGTTATCATGTGTCAAAGTTTTGGTTTGTGTACCTTATCTGTAACTTACACTACATTTTTGTAACTAATTGTTAAAATTACAGAATAATAAATTACAACGTGTCCAATTTGACTTGTTTATCCAAAAAATTTACATATAAAGAGCTAAGTACTATTCATTGATACAGGATAATGATATAGGATATTATTAAGTACATGCAATATGTTTGACAATAAAAAAAAAACATGCAATATGTGGTTAAAGGGTCAATTTTTAGGAAGATGCGTGCATGGATGCGTCAAAACACATGTTAATTTAAATTACGTGGTGGAGAGGGTTCATTGTTTTTCCACAACTACATGCATGTCAAATTGGCTATCTTATGGATTGAAATATGACAAAAAGCGTAACGGATTTTAACTTCTTTTTTCATTGTCCAACCGTCATGAAAGTCTAAGTTTGTCCCACTAGGTGAAATAAAGTGCTATTTTTGTGATAAAAAATTTCACATTTTATTCTAAAAAATAGTTGACAATAGGGGAGAGTAAAAACCTAGTTTCTTAATAAATTTTAGTAAGGTTTTCAATTTCTTGACATGCAGTTTGCACTCTCAACATTTCTTCATATAACATCATTTAAGTATAACATGTAAACAACACGTAGTAGATGTTGAATATATCATTGTCAGCTCATCAAAATAGTTGTAAAAGGATTAGATGATGTAATAGTTGGTTGAAAGAGTTAGTTAGAGTTTGTTACTCAAAGCTTATTAACTAGTCATCTAGTCAGCTATATATAACTATTGTAAACATATAGTAAGATGAGTTCATTGAAGTTCAATACAAAACCTTCATTCATTCTTTCTCACATTTCTCTTCTCTCTGTAAAACTTGACTTCTTGGTTTTATAATTGTTCATCTCTGCTACTTCTCCAGTATAGTTAACATGGTATCAGAGCCACCAGGTTCACGCCATTGATTCAAGTGGTTCCGTATTTTGTTTTTTGTTTTTTTTAGATTTCATTTCCAGTTTTATTTTCTCTTCAGATTTTCTTGAATTTTTCGTCAAGTTCTTCAGTGTTTCCTTCTTCTCTCAGATCCCCGAATCGGAGAAGGAAGCATAATCAATTTCTTACTCAGTTTTTGTGGATGAGAATCGGTTGAGAAGGAGCATTATTCTTATGGAGATTCTTAGTGCCACTAACATGTTCTAGGCGGCTTTGTTTCTTGAAGGGGTCCATACTCTCGGGAAGTAGAATCGCTTGGCGATCGAGTTGGACGCTGTTTTTCTTTTCCATTAGCATACTGCTTGAAAAGGGCATTGTCAAGAGGCACCACACCTTTGTTCTGCATAAACACATAGTGAGGATAGAGATTCATCATCAGTGGCGACCCGATTTTCGATATGCGGGGCTGTTCTTCCTCTGTGATTGTTGAGGGTTTCTTTCTGTTCGCCGGGGTTTTCTGGTAGCTGGTGGTTTGCTGGAGGTTCTCCAATGGGGTTTTCCGATCATGAGCTCAAGTCTCAGGTTTTGTTACTAAATTCTGCATTCCATCTGTTTGCTTAGATGCTGCAGTGACAATTTGTTTCTTTGATGGGGTTTCTTGTATGCAATTTGTTCTCTGTTAAGGCCAATAGCCATTTTCTGCGAGATTGTTGAAGGAATACAAAGGCCAATAGCCATTCCTTTTTGTTGCTTGATTAGCTCTTGGGTGTTTGAGATTTGTGCACTCGAAAAAGGCCGATTGCCAAAAGCGTATTGAATGCAATTTGTTCTCTGTTAAGGTTGATAGCCATTTTCTACGAGATTGTTGAAGGAATACAAAGGCCGATAGCCATTCCTTTCGTTGCTTGATTAGTTCTTGGGTGTTTGAGATTTGTGCACTCAAAAAAAGCTGATTGCCAAGAGTGTGTTGAATGCAATTTGTTTTATGTGAGATTGTTGAAGGAAAACAAAGGCCGATAGCCATTCCTTTATGTTGAATAGTTTGTTCTTGATTGTGTGAGAGTTTTGCACTTGAAAGACCAATTGCCAAGAAGTGTATTGATTACAACAAACCAAAGGTTAATACTTGCTTGAAGTGTGCAAATTCTGTGCGAGAGGCAAATGAATATTGAATTTTAGGATGGAAAGATTGTATTTGCAAAGGTGATGTGTGATGATAATGAGATGAGCAACATGTTTTTTGGTTTTGGCAAGTTTGAAAGGATGATAACTATATGTGGTTGTACCTTATCGCAAAGAAAACAGTAGCTACAGAGGTGTAAAAATTAGTTTGAGGGGCTGAATTCTTTGGGAAGTTGATTGATGAGTATGAAATTGCACCGTTCTTGAGTAATTTTCAATACTTGCAGCCATGGAGGATAATTGGTGAGGGGCAGCAGGGCTAGGAGTATATGGACAAGAAGGACTTCATAATTATGCATTTCTCAAAGCATTCATTCAATCTCAAACTAGGAAACCCAGTTGAGATTGATGGGGGATGTTGAATATATCACTGCCAGCTCATCAAAACAGTTGTAAAAGGATTGGATGATGTAATAGTTAGTTGAAAGAGTTAGTTAGAGTTTGTTACTCAAAGGTTATTAGCTAGTCCTCTAGTCAGCTATATATAGCTATTGTAAACAGATAGTAAGATGAGTTCATTGAAGTTCAATACAAAACCTTCATTCATTCTTTCTCACATTTCTCTTCTCTCTGTAAAACTTAACTTCTTGGTTTTATAATTGTTCATCTCTGCTACTTCTCCAATGTAGTTAATAGCAGATGATGTGGGAGCACGTGACTTATTATACTCAACATGTGAATTAACTTTATTCTGATACTATGAAAGAAGTTAAAAGTAGACCTTAAAGATATTTGACAGTGGAAGAAGTGACTTGATTTCTTTCAAGCTCTTACAAAATCTTTTATTCTTATTATAGATTTAACACTCTCAAACCTTTAAATATAGCTAAATGTTGTATAACGTTACCTAGGAAATATTACTTTTTTCCATTGACAAAGTATTGTATGTGGCAAATTCGGCCTAGTAACCTTTAGATTCAAGGCCACGCGCACATTGACATAGCCAATATTCTAGGAGAAGGTTTCCCTTCAAAAAAGTGCCAGGACTTTGTCACTTGTCTATCGAGATGGAGTGGAGAGAGAGTGGGTTGGGACCTAGATTACTTGGAAGAGTTCCGTGAAAATCTATAGCTTGGGTAGGGGATTGTCAACTGACTCGTTCATTTGGCATTTGGCAATGCCTTAATTTAAACGTGTACAACTGCAATCCTTAACCCTCTAACCACAAAATTCAACAATTTTTTTGGGAAGACAAATAGAAGCTTGTAGTCAAATTGGGATTTGAAAATATTTTTAAAGACTTTTTGAAGTGAATGATTATAGATTATGTAGACTTTTACAAAGTTGATAAAAAATGTACACTTTTACAAAGACTATGGATTTTCAAAAATTCAAGAGGATTCACACTACAGGTTTTCATGGATTAATTTGAAAGGATTTTAGAAACTCATATCACAGACTTTCTTGAATTTTCTTCTTATTATCTCTGCCATGGCTGCATCAACCAACACTGTGCCCTCCTCCCTTCCCCATCATCACTCACGGCCCTGATTCTCTCCTCTTCTATGGTTAAATAATTGATGAAAATTTAAAATACTCATCAATTGTCTTCCTTTCTTACATGTCCTAAAGGGATAATAAGCCCGATTGCCTCATAAAACCAAAGATACCATAAGACACCCAATAAGAATAAAATCAGCAACTCCATTTCCCATGCATGCTAAGAAAAAATAATCGCCTTTCCCAGGCTATTGCGGTTTGGTCTAAAATAATATACAGGCAATGAGCAATTTGGTTTCATTTTTTATACTTCATAAATATTGAAATAAAAATCTTCATTTAACCAAAAAAGAAAACAAAAAAGAAAAAATAATCACCTTTTCATAGGCTATTGTGGTTCAGTGATTACAATAAAAGCCCAGGTCTAGGTTTCGAAAGGCGTGGTTGGTGAAGGTTGAAGATGCAATAGAAGGAGTAAATTTTCACCATTTAGCACTACGATATGCCACTTAGTACTACGGTCTAGTAATATTTTTCTTCACTTATAAGAGAGAGGTCGTAGGTTCAATTCTCCCCAAAGGCAAATTTGAACCACATTATTACTAGCCCATTGTGAAGCTAAGCTCACCCCCTCCTCTTAGTTTATATAATATCGTTTGTTCAAGAAAAAAAAAACAGAAGGAGAAATTTTAGAAGAGAATGCTTTGAATAATAATATATTTTTCTCAATAAGAGGAACTTATAGGTGTACAACCCTAACATAAAAGGAAAGAAAACTAATTACAAATGATTACATGGGATTACATATCAATTAGGGATCCTACCTAAAATACAAAAGTCAACACTCCCCCTCAAGTTGGTGCATATATGTCGCTCATGCCCAACTTGTGTAAGAAACTTGAAAACTTGTGACTCGAAACAGCTTTTGTGAGGATATCTGCCAATTGATCTTCTGTTCTTATCGCCGGTACTTCAATTATTTTCCCTTCCAATTTTTC